TTTATAGTAATAATTTATCTATAATATATATCACCTTCGCAAATTGAAATAGAGACTCTTTCTGAGTGAAGATGAAGTTTGGACTCAAAGAACGATAGAACTACATTCGTGATTATGTGACCCCATCTGATGTGAACCTCTCCGATCATATTTCATGAACCCCCTAGATTATTCTGTATGGCATACCCGAGCAAACCAGGTTGCGGCAGCCCCCTCTCCTGAACTCTTGAAAGACGCGATTGCGGTGACTCTGGAGCATCTTCGCATGGATGAAGAAGCATGAATAGCCCTGCTGTGTGATTTTCTTTGCTAACAGCTCGACTCGTTGTACAGAGTTGCAGAAAATAATGGATTGGTTGATTTGAAGCTGCAAAGTGGGAAAATACGATGACAAGGATAGGTTAGGTGCGAGATATCCGATTAACGAAACTGGCTATATATTAAAATCACGTGGAAACAGACCCGTGCACACACTACGTATGTTTGCTCACTTATATCCGTTGACGGTGCGTCACACTGCTTGCCTGTTTGCTACTTTCTACAAGTAATAAATATTCTGTATTGCAAGATTAAATGCATGTATGTGATTGGCGGGTAATAATACCTTGGAAAACAGCGTGTTGAGACAGTGGACTTTCTGGCGTTCCTCTACGAACGCATAGTACTGTGATACGCCGCGCAGAGTCAATTCCTCCATCAGATTTATTTCATATGGCTTGTTCATGAATTTGTCCTGTAACGGAGGTAAATTTTCAGAAGTCCGGAAATGAAATCAGTCTTTGTACTACCGATAGAGCGCTTATACTACTGAAAACCATCAGGGCAACGTGCGCAGGTGCACACGGAATGTATACAACTTGTCACTCAATTATAAAACGACAAGTATGCGATAGCTTGAATAGAACCGAATACAAACACATCTTCCGAATACAAACACACATTCGCTACCTTGAAGTCTTTGACCGTCAGTGGGAAGGTGGCCGAGTACATAAGTAATTGGCGGCCCTCAGGTAGGTATGAGAACAGCTGTTCCAGCACCGGCTGGAATTCGGGGGAGAGTAGTTTGTCGGCTTCATCCATAACAACAGTCATGCACTGGTTGAGCTTGGTCAGGTTTTTCTGTGTCAGATCGAGCAGACGTCCGGGTGTGGCTACCACCACATGCACTGCCAAGACCAAGATGATAGAAAAATTAGGATGTGAAAATGGCTTTATTCGAGGTGGTATCATACTACAGTGTCATTCGCCTCGGGTATGCAACACAGTGTGTGCGATGGGGGAAAGTTCGCACCAAAACATAATATACATGCAGGATCATGCAGCTATTAAGGAAGCTATTTGACACTAAACTGAAACTACACGGAGCGGGTAAGTAGACTAGGCGAAGGTGCAAACATAATCACTTTAGGTGCATGGTATACCTTTAAGATTACAATACCATCAGAGCCTTGATTTTCACCAGTTTCGGCAGGTAGCCCAATGGCGTGCAACCACACTATACCAAGCACTATCTATACACAATCCAAATGAGCAGTTGCTATGTTAACACATTGAAAGATGACGAAGTCGTGATGAACGTGCAACAGTTTTTCAGTTGTGCCTACCGGTTTTGGAAAGACGCATGATGTCGTCCTTGAGATTGGTACCTCCCGTGGTTACCATGACCTGAATATTGAGATGTTTCCCCAATTCCTTGCACAGTTGGGCTGTCTGTAATGCCAACTCCCTGGTGGGCACCATAACCAATGCTGCAAACGCAAATACAGTAGAAGCAAATGAGCGCATGCTGTACGCAAAAGTAAACCACGCTCACAATCGCATGGAATCAGCTCATGCTGTACGCAAAAGTAAACCACGCTCACAATCACATGGAATCAGCGCAGACTGTACGCAAAAGTAAACCACGCACACAATGGCATGCAATCAGCGCATGCTGTACGCAAAAGTAAACCACGCTCACAATCGCATGGAATCAGCTCATGCTGTACGCAAAAGTAAACCACGCTCACAATCGCATGGAATCGGAAAAAAGAGTAACGTGAGCCATCCACATACATTGTATAGCATTTTTGCTGATTTCTGTTTTCTCAATGACGGGGATCAAATACGCGGCAGTCTTGCCGGTGCCGTTTTTGGCGCGTGCGAGGATATCCCGTCCAGCCAGTGCAACGGGGATGCTTTCCTCCTGAATAGGCGACGGTTGTTCATACCCCTTCTCAAAGAGTCCCATCAGGAGTTCGCGTTTGAGGTAGTAGTCTTCGAATTGGTTGCCCTTGGTGTCTGTGACGTCTTCCGTGCGTGTGCGTGTGTCTTTCTTAGGTGCCACTAGACCAATTCTCCAATCTTGAGTTCTGAAAAAGTAGTCGCGAAAGCGTTTAAGTCATCAATGCAAATATCAAGCAATTCGGCAAGACTATGACACGTAATACAACAACATCACAGCAACGTCACAGCGCCCGATCACGCAGGTACGCTTATTCGATGGGCTGAGCTCCTGCAAACTCAGGATAATTCTGGTGACGGCATATACTGCAGCGAGAAGCCTTAACAAATATACACAGCTGTTGCAGTACAAAATCTCGCACATACTGAATTCGACGTAAAAAAAACTCTCATGGTAGCGCCGCACACAGCACCGAGAAAACATTCGAGCAAGCACGTACAGCATATTGGTAGTTTGTTGTGAAAACAAACCATTACTACAAGTCAATCAGAAAGTGGAGATCGCGGAAAGAACGCGCCAAGCCAGCAGATTACCATCCCAAACAGAACGGTAACAAAGACCTTCACACTCAGTAGCTGTACCCAACAACCTACAACACTAAGCCTCATGGAGTACACAATTAAAAAACCCCGCTGGTCAGTGTTTGAAAATTGACGAAAGAGTGACGCACGGGGTTGTGCGTATTTACATATATTGACCTGAAGTTCAGCTGTATTCCCGAAACACCAAAGATCACAAGCGCGTCTGAGAGTTCAACATACCCGTTGGCCTGTACCTGCGGCGGCTGCTGTGTGTGTGTTTGTGGTGCTTGTTGCATGAGTTGCATCTGCTGAGGGGGTGGTGTTTGCCTACTCATCTGGTTCTGATTCTGATTCTGCATATTCATCTGCTGACCGTTGTTAATGATATTGTTTTTCTGCTGCTGTTGTGGCGGTTGTTGTTGCTGTTGTGGCGGTTGTTGTTGCTGCTGATGGGGCGGCTGTTGTTGTCCATACTGTTGCTGAGGCGGGCCCTGTTGGAACTGATTTGGGGTCAGCGCATGTGGTTGCTGATATGCTTGCTGGTTATTTGGATTAGCATTTGGCCGCTGCTGCGCCTGTGCAGCATAACTGGGTGCTGACATGGTGTCTCGGTATTGTTGACAAAAGTTGGTAAAGTCGACTCTCCAGTGTGGATGAACTTTTATCGTGTGTTAGTGTTTGTATATGATGTGTATGTGCTATGTTTCCGGGCCACAAGGGCTTGTAGAAGCCACTCCCAGTATACTATTATCGAATTCTTGCTGAACACTTATCCAGAGTACAGTCGATATCGCGCGAGTTCTATATTCTTCTAATTCAGTGTGTTGCCGTGGAGAGGAGGCGCGTGTGCAGGTATATATCTATAATATCGTATAGGGGCGAAAGACAATTGTGCAGCTAAACACGCAGTAGGTTCTGTTGTTTCGGTAGTTGTTGTCGAGGTCTGGAGGTTGTCTTAATGAATGCAGAGTGTGGTAATAAATATTTAAAATATTGTAACAACAATCGACACCGAGTTCGCTTTGTGTATTTATTTTTATTTATCGATATGCATAGTATGGGGCTATGGGCTGTATTTGTATTGTATTTAGTCTGTAGACTGTAGAGTGTAGACTGTAGAGTATACACCCCCTCGGCTCATAGTCACCGACTCGCACTCGACTCTGAGTCCTGAGATAGACAAACGGGAACTCCTCGAGTACGCAAAAATAAATAAATACAAAATACAGAAGGACAATCCGACAAACATAGTAGCAATTCTTGTGTGGGGTAGGAAAACAATATTAAAAAATTATTTCTCTCTCGTCTCCAACTCACAATGAGGGAATTGGGGGTTTATTTATTTTTTAAATAATTTGTGTATGTATGTATTTACTGTTTGGTAGAGAGTATATATAAATACATGTCAAATAAATAAATACAATATTTACATAAATACATAAATACATATTTATGTACATCCTGTATGTATTTATTTATTTATTTATATATTTTTTGAAAAAGTCGTCCCTCTGACGCATAGCCTTCTAAATTATACATCTGATGATTTATGCAGTAAGTAGTCGACGATAACTGTATCTCAACGTACTCCCCTCGTACAAGGGGAGACGTTGTTCATTTATTGAACTAAATCCTGTGACTATCATTTTGGTCATGTGTTTTCCGTTAATCAGTTTAAAATTGATTGGATAAACCCAGTTCAAAATGTAGTCTCTAATAAAACCCTAATATCAAATAAACCTCGATCCTAAATAACCCCCCCCTGAAACTGGCGCCCACACATGCCGAACCGAAACACTACAAATACCTGAGGGTTCCCACTCTCTCATGGAGTACCAGGAATCAACCTCGCTAGACATATGGAATCCCTGGTTGCAGCATTGTCACTGGGTATCGCCTCTTTCCGCGCTTATGGCTTCCATGGCTTCAGCTGGCGACACCCCCGCAATCGACTGGTGATGTTCAAAACATTCATCCTATCCACGGCTACATATGGGTTGAACATTATTGCCTGGGCTCCGCCTATATGGAAGGATGCGTTGGACCCCCTATTCGAGCGCTTTAACTCAGCACTCACCCAAGCAGCAGCCATCATCACGGGCACTAAATACCTTCGGTTTCCCAAACATCAAACAAACTTACTTCACTTTTGCGGCCTGCTCCCCGCGCGACCATTCGTGGACTACCTCGAAGGTTGCCTGGGAATACAACTCGACTTAATGGACAGCACAAATCCACTTACCCCTCTGACGCAACCCGCCTGGGCCCACGATGAACCATCACTGCGCTGCCCGTACAGTACCTATGCTCACCTGAAAACTGTACACAAAGCCATGGGCGGGCGTACACCCGACCATGTAGCCCTCCGCCAACGCTGTGACGACATCAGGAAGAACTCAACAAAACGTTGGTCCAACAAGGAGATCGCGGCAATGGCCCGGCGCCAATACTACTACCAACTGGTTATGGGTAAACCGCCAACCTCAAACCGAGACACAGCCAGACATGACAGCTTCAATCGCTGCTTCGAGTCTACACCAATCCGGCTCTGTGCTATGATTGTAACGAATACGTACATGTTCACATTGCTCGACTACCGCACCGACGGCTGTCTCTGCCC